AAATTACAAGCCATTTGAAACTTGATAAAAGCTACAAATTCTGGAAATTTCAATGCAATTTGCTCAACGGTTACCGAGCAATTGAGGTTTGAATAATTTTGAAATTAGAATTCAAAGGGAAATTATTGTTTCTTGAATGTTTCTGATAGAAATATCTATAGCCAATCAAGAGCCGATAATACTTCAAATTTTGATTATTACAGGCTCTTGATTTTTGGATAATTTTTCTCAATGGAATCAAAAGCCAGTAATGATCAAAGTTCGGACTTATTAGGTCTGTTCCAACCAACATGAAAACCGTTCTAGAATGGTAATTTCATTTCTAGTCGATCAATTCATTTGTCAATAATGTCAATTAGGATAAATGTTTAAACATCGAAAAATAGGTGGGCAATTGGAAATTAACGGTTCTCATCTCAGTTGGAACAGAGCTACAGGCTTTTTAGAAATACATAAAAGACAATACTCAAAACTTGGCCTTTTATTGGTTCTTGAATGTTCCTGGTAGAAATATCTAGCCAATCAAGAGCCGATAATAGTTCAAATTTTGATTATTACAGATTACAGGCTCTTGATCTTTGGATAATTTTTCTCAATGGAATCAAAAGCCAATAATGATCAAAGTTCGGATTTATTATTAGCTCTGTTCCAACCGACATGAAAACTGTTCTGTAATGGTAATTTCATTTCCAATCGATCAATTCATTTGTCAATAATGTCAATTAGGATAAACGTTTGAACTTATTGAAAAATAGGTGGGCAACTGGAAATTACTGGTTCTGGAATGGTTCTCATCTCAGTTAGAACAGAGCTAAGGCTATTGAGCATTTTTTAGAAACACATAAAAACTCACAATAATCAAAATTTGGCCTCTTATTGGTTTTTGAATGTTTCTGGTAGAAATATCTAGCTAATCAAGAGCCGAAAATAGTTCAAATTTTGATTATTACAGGCTCTTGATCTTTGGTTAATTTTTCTCAATGGAATCAAAAACCAATAATGATCAAATTTCGGACTTATTATTATCTCTGTTCCAACCCACATGAAAACCGTTCCAGAACGGTTTTTTCATTTCCAGTTGATACATTCATTTGCCAATTATGTCAAGTGGGATAATCCTGGGGGTAAACCACCTAGAAATTCTTTGCTAAAAATGTGGGGAATTTAAAGGAATTTGTGCGGAATTTGACAAAACTCATCAGAATTTATGAGAATTTGGGAAATTTATAGGGAATTTGGAAGAATTTATGGGGAATTTGGGAGAATTTGTGAGGAATTTATGAAGAATTTAAAGGAAATTGTAGAGTCATGACGTCACTGAGGTTCACATTCTTATTATAAGAAATAGTAGTAAATGGAAATTAAAAAAAAAAAATCTAGTTTTGTGTTGGATGTTGGATATTTATTTTTATTAAAGAAATCCTCCCAAAATTACATTACATAATTTACAGGTCCAAATTTAAAAAATTCAAAAAAATAATGAATACAGTTTTTGTAGGCTGATTTCCAAGATTTTTCATGTTGTTATTTTCGACTGAAGAAACTTAAAATTATGGGAAAAAGGAGCTTCTCACCTTCCTCTTTACATGCAAAAAGTTTCAAAATTTTTCCTTCACTAGATTTCCAGCAAAACTTTGAAATGAGTGAGACTGTATTTTTAACTAATTCAGTTTTTGTAGGTTGATTTCCAAGATTTTTCATGTTGCTATTTTAAACTGCAAAATTTTGAAACTTTGGAAAAATGAGCTTCTTACCTTCCTCTTTACATGCAAAAAGTTTCAAAATTTTCCCTTCACTAGTTTTCCAGGAAAACTTTGGAATGTGTGAGACTGTATTTTCAAATAATTCAGTTATTGTAGGTTGATTTTCAATATTCCTCATGTTGTTATTTTCCACTGGAAAAATTTGAAATTTTAGAAAAATGAGCTTTTTACCTTTCTCTTCACATGCAAAAAGTTTAAAAATTTTTGCCCTCTACTAGTTTTCCAGGAAAACTTTGGGATGTGTGAGACTGTATTTTCAATTAATTTAATTATTGTAGGTTGATTTCCAATATTCCTCATGTTGTTATTTTCCACTGGAAAAATTTGAAATTTAGAGAAAATGAGCTTCTCACCTTCCTCTTCACATGCAAAAAGTTTCAAAATTTTCCCTTCATTAGATTTCCAGGAAAACTTTGAAATGTGTGAGACTGTATTTTCAACTAATTCAGTTTTTGTAGATTGAATCTTGGAAAGATTATTCATGTTGCTGTTTTCTACTGAAAAAAATTGAAATTTTAGGAAAATGAGCTTCTTACCTTCCTCTTTACATGCAAAAACTTTCAAAATTTTCCCTTCACTAGTTTTCCAGGAAAACTTTAGAATATGTGAGACTGTATTTTCAATTAATTTAGTTATTGTAGGTTGATTTCCAGTATTCCTCATGTTGTTATTTTCCACTGGAAAAATTTGAAATTTTGGGAAAAATGAGCTTTTTACCTTCCTCTTTATATGCAAAAAGTTTCCAAATTTTTCCTCCACTAGTTTTCCAGGAAAACTTTGAAATGTGTGAGACTGTATTTTCAACTAATTCAGTTTTTGAAGGTTGATTTCCAAGATTTTTTATGTTGCTGTTTTTCATTAGATTTTGAGAAAATGAGCTTTTCACCTTCCTCTTTACATGCAAAAAGTTTCAAAATGTTCTCTCTACTAGTTTTCTAGGAAAACTTTGAAATGTGTGAGACTGTATTTTCAACTAATTCAGTTTTTGTAGGTTGATTTCCAAGATTTTTCATGTTGCTGTTTTTCACTGGAAAAATTGGAGATTTTGGGAAAATGAGCTTCTCACTTTCTTCTTTACATGCAAAAAGTTTCAAATTTCTCCCCTCACTAGTTTTCCAGGAAAACTTTGAAATGTGTGAGACTGTATTCTCAATTAATTCAGTTATTGTAGGTTGATTTTTAATATGCCTCATGTTGTTATTTTTTAGTGGAAAAATTTGAGATTTTGGGAAAATGAACTTGACACCTTCCTCTCTATATGCAAAAAGTTACAAAATTTTTCCTCCACTAGTTTTCCAGGAAAACTTTGAAATGTGTGAGACTTTATTTTCAACTAATTCAGTTTTTGTAGGTTGATTTCCAACATTTCTCATGTTGCTGTTTTCCATTGGAAAATTTTGAAATTTTGAGAAAATGAGCTTCTCACCTTCCTCTTTACATGCAAAAAGGTTCAAATTTTTCTCTCTACTAGTTTTCTAGGAAAACTTTGAAATGTGTGAGACTGTATTTTCAACTAATTCAGTTTTTGTAGGTTGATTTCCAAGATTTTTCATGTTGCTGTTTTCTACTGAAAAAATTTGAAATTTTGCGAAAATGATCTTCTTACCTTCCTCTTTACATGCAAAAAGTTTCAAAATTTTCCCTTTTCTTAGAGAAATTTGTGGGCTATTTGGAGAAGTTCGTGGTGGGGTATGTGGAGGAATTTGTGATGGGGTATCTGGAGGAATTTTGAGGAATTATGCTTAAAAAATTCCCCTTTGAGGAATTGTTTGTATCAATTTTGAGATGGTGGTTTACCCCTTGGCATAAACGTTTAAACTTATTGAAAAATAAGGGGGCAACTGGAAATTACTGGTTCTAGAACGGTTCTCATCTCAGCTGGAAAAGAGCTAAGGCTATTGAGAATTTTTTTAAAATACATACAGTTGATAATACTCAAAATTTGGCCTCATATTGGTTCTCAAATGTTTCTGGTAGAAATATCTAGCCAATCAAAAGCCGGTAATAGTTTAAATTCTGATTCTCAATCTTTCGCAAAGTAATCAAGAACCATCCAAAAATGAATAGTTTTTAGTGTTGATAAAATGTGAGACAGATTTTTAATTTATGTTTCCAGCTATTTTTGGAAACATAGATATACCTACCTACAATAAATGCATAAAATCCCTAATGAAAACAAATTAATAATTCAAAAATTCCCTCAAAGCTGGATTATTAATGTTAATTGGATATTTTCCACAATGAAAAACACTGAAATAAAATATGGATATGAACATTACTAAGATTGATGAATGAAATTTTAGTGGTCGTTTCGAGCCTGTGTGGAAAAAAAAGTAATTTATGGATTTCAGTAATTAGGTATGATTCTATTAGTGTACATTCAGTATAAAATATTCAAAATAATTATTATTATCATTATCGAAATAACTTTACCATCTTGCGATATGAGATATTTGTTTAGGCTATGGTTTATCGAATCACAGATAGTTGTAGATAAAACAATAACTATATCATAATGCGAGAATTTCATAAGTCTACATTAATTCAAGGTCTAATACCTACCATGTTTATTTATTTATTAATTATGTGAATTACTTTTTTATATAAGCGAGTATAGGTGGTACTTAATAACCATTCATTGAAGAAAAATTTATTTTCCAAACATAAAAAGACACCAAAAGTCAATATTAACCAATTTATGATTGTGATTATCTGGTCTATTTATGTATGTCACCCTTGAACTTGTTATTGTTCAAGGATTTGCTTTTTAATTGCAAAACCATAATGGTATAAAAAATAAATAAGTATGGATTTTACCAGGGATGTAGAAATCATATTAACACTTATTGTTAACGTCAAAAAATTCACATTTCAAGCAATTATTTGACTTACCTTGACTTGGGTAGTACATGTATAGCTGAAAAGAAAAAAAAAATACATTTAAATTTTTTGAAGGGTAAAGTTTTTGATATTCACAGGGAAATTAGTGTTAAAACTTTTGATCCAAAAAAGGTGTGAATTTCAAACTGTTCCTCAGCTAGAACCTGGGAAAAACCTTTATATATTGTATTAATCATAAAAATAAGTAAATCCCTCGTATATCATATAACCTGTTGGTCGATTATCTTATATTTTTCCTTGAGCTGCTTATTAATTTAAGCATAAAATTACTAAATAACTTTCGCTTCTAGTCTTACATTAAACCTCGCCTAAGAAACAACATTTTTTTATTTATAGAAACTAAAATATGGTTGCCGGTCGAGTTTTGGTCTACGGAGGACGCGGAGCTCTGGGCGCCAAATGCATCGCCCAATTTAAGGCGGCCAACTTTTGGGTGGCCAGCGTCGATTTGGCCGAAAACAACGACGCCGACGTCAGCGTTTCGCTGAAAACCGGCGACAGCTTCGAGCAGCAGGAAACTTCGTTGCTGGAAGCTTTGAAGGGCCATTTGAAGGACGAGAAGTTGGATGGGATTTTTTGTGTAGCAGGTGAACTTTATATACCTTATGATTTAGATTTCTGCTCATTAGGACTTATAGTTTCTGAAATAAAATCTAGTAATGGGTTAAAATCTCTAACTAAATATGTATATTATAAGAAAGAGTTTTTTGTAACAAAGTGGATTTCACCATTGGAATATGAAAATGTTGTCTAGATCTTATATCGTAATCATGGAAATCTTACTGTCTTTCTAAATAAGTATCTACTTAAATATTTTGGAAGCAGATTATGTTCGATCTTATAAATTATCAATATATTGGCCTTTTTTATACACTGCTCACATAACACAACATAATTATTCTCAACATGAGTGTACCTATTGCAACCTAAGATAATCCTCATTACTTTATTTTGCTGTACTTGTAATCTATATATTCCCTCTCTACTGATATACATGATATCAACAAAGAACAACAATTAAAATGAGGCATAATGATGGTTTCATAAATTAACATTTTTGTCCAGTAGGAAATATTAGATGATATCCTAGAAAAAAATCCAATTTTTTTTACATAAATAATCAACATGAGAAAAAAAATTTAGTTGCGGATCAAGAATACCACCTGAATACTCAATTTCTTCAATATTCACAGCTAAATTTAAGTCCAAATATTTCAGTTTGCTTTTGATCCGATAACCATACACTGTGTTTTTGTATTATTTAATTTCAATCGATTTTGACATAGCTAGTCATACAGAATATCAAGCTCACTGTTCAAAATGTCTGTAATCTCATAATGGTTTCCCCCTGAAACGGATATAAGTGTGTCATCCGCAAATAAATTTATAAAACACCTTTTTACATTTTTATATTATATATGTATATCATTTATGTAAATAATAAACAAAAGCGGACCAAGCACACTTCCCTGTGGGACACCTAACAAATTCAGTTTACTTTCTAATGTATAAGTATTTACTTTGGTTTTTTGATACCTATCCCTTGAATATTCTTCAATCCACATTAGCGCATTTTCCCCTATTCCATGCGAAGCTAACTTTCTAATTAAAATCTTACGGTCTATTGTCTCGAATGCACGTTTCAAGTCAACAAATACACAAAGCACAACTTCATCATTGTTTATTTTTTTCCTACAATCTGCACAGATGTACTGGACGGCCGATTCGCATGAATATTTACTTCTAAATCCAGATTGTCCAGTGAAAAGTAAGTCTTTCTGTTCAGAATACTGCCTAAGTTGTCCACATGCAATCGTTTTAATAATTTCATCTACCGTTGGTTGCATATTTACAGGTCTGAATTCCAAGGGATTTTTTTGTCTTAATAACCTTCGGAATACGAATAATCAGTCTTCAATTGCTTAGAATAACTTTCCATTTGTAAAAGTTGTATTTACCAAATACAGGAGAAGATATCCGATTACACAAAATAATTCTTCTATCAATTTCACGTTCAAAATGTCATCACTTGTGATTTTGTTTTTTAAACCCATCACCACTTTTTTTAATTCTGAGAGACCAACTTTCTTGAAACTTAGAAACTGGGCGTCCACCTAAGAATAAACATCTTGACTTTGCCATTCTCTATATTGGATGCTATTTGATATTTCATCCAAATTGTCGAGAAACAAGTATATTCTGATTGTAATAATTAATCTTCTCATTTCGGATCATAGCAACTACTTGGTTTCTTTTTTCCTTGAATGTCTTCCAATCAGGTTCACCAAGATGCCATAGTTTAGTAAGGATTCAACAAGTGCTTTGTATATCATTACAAGATTCTTCTTAGATAAGAATTCTCTCATCATAAAAAACCTATAGATAAGACACCTCAATTTCTTGCACAAATATAGTGTATGTTGATCCTACTTAAGATGTTTATCGATAAAAACACCAAGATATTTGGTACTGGCACTCTCGTTTAGGGATTCACCCACATCATCCAGAAATATTTGTCGAAAATCAGCTCTGCCTGCCTCCGTTAGAGAGAAAGCAATATAACGTGTTTTCTTGATATTCAGACTCAATTTAAGTGTATCCAAAATGTTTTTTATTTCGCCAAACCCAGATTTTAACTTCTTTCTCACTTCATCTCAGGTTTTATCGAATGTAATACCACAAGAGGTTTCAGGATTACCGAATAATACTTTTACCTGTCCCGAAACGCGTTACGCAGCAACACCACGACTCCGAAGGAGGAGTGGTGTTGCTGGTAACGCGTTGAGTGTCAGGTAAAAGTATTAGGTAATCCTGAAACATCGAGTGGTATTCAAAAGGTTATACAACGAACTGAACTTCAATACTTCATCAATTTTCATAATCATTAATGACAAATTAACAATAATGCCACCAAGCGCGATAATCCCAAAAGGCTTATCACTTATTAAGCCTGTCGTGTCATATGGGAATAATGTACAGTGAGTTGTATAACCCGAAAAAAAAGCAATAGTGTCATCTGCATATGAGATAATCCCGGATCTAGATTGCAAAGGCTGTTTATGGTACAGGTTAAAAAGAATTGGCCCTATAACAGTTCCTTGAGGTACACCGTGTTTCACAAACCTTTCCTCAGACACAACTTTCCCAATCCTAACCAGAGATATGTGAGGGAAATAAAATCTGTTTAAAGATAATTCCCCAAGTCAAAAATTTAGTAACTATGTTGGCAACATAAGCCTTTTCTACATAAAAAATTTGAAAGCATTGACAATTTTACATTGTATGGCCAACATAATGTCATTTTGACTTTTATCTTAAAAAAAAAACACACTTTAAAATGCGCTTAGACGACTGCGCATCCGATTTTATGGTAACACGTAGGGTGCCGCCATTTTTATCACTTTTCACTTATGCCGTTTCCGATTAGTATATCTATTGCAGTTTTCTTTATTTCTGTCTTTTTCTTCTACAGGTTGATGAAAAAGGATGAGAATACACTCGGTGCGCATTAAATCTACCAATCGGAAACCCCATTAGTCTTTACGTTGACAACTTCTATTTGACAAATTTTTCAGGTTGTTGTTTTTGGCGATTTTCGTGCTTTTTCTGAGATATTTTTATCAGAACGGTGTTTTAAAAGATTTCTTTTTGTTATTTCTGCTTATTTTTGGAGTAATGAGTTGTTCATGACCTATTTTTCCAACACTTAATTTGACAAGTGATAAAAATGGCGGTCCTTCAAATTCAGCCAGTTGCGCAGGATGGACCCTTATTCTATTCTAACCAACAACTCTCCCATATCTCTGATCCTAACCCGTTGAGAGCGACGGCTAAGATCTCAGAGTAACACTACATAAATAGAGATAGAGAGGGCAAGTCATTCATAAAATTTCTTAGTTTCTGCGGCCAACAATCCTTAATGACAATAGTGAATTAATGAATGAACTACATGGAGTGACGTTTGCCATTTCTTTCTATGAATACTAGGGCGTATTCGCGATTATGGTCGGGCTTGCTCTGGCAATATTTGCATCCTACTTTATCTGGTTATCTTAACAAAGATAAAACGATTCAGGTGGGCGTTCTAGGCCAATGAACTAAACAAACCTTTGAATATAAAACTACAGGAAGGAGCGTTTTCTATCTGTCACTACAGACAACGCAGGGACGGAAACGGCCATTTTGAGCCTCCAAGTATGGACTCATCATTTGTTTTGGTGGTTCGCTGTGTCCTCATTCAAGTGGAGGTTTGATGGATTTTAGCAGTTTTAAGTGATAATAAGCACTGGAATTAGTGCGAAAAAAGTAAATCATAATATTGACAATCATATTTAAATAAATATACGCCACTGCCAAACCGGAAACACTAGTCGGCCATATGCAACCTCCACATTTTCTGGTCGCGCAGATTCGAGGTTATGCTCCTTCCTGTGGTTTTATATTCAAAGAAACAAACACACTGGAACTTACTTAGATGTTATGTAACATTACTCACAACTACAAAAATAGCATCAGCAGTACTAGTCCCGTCCCTGAACCCAAACTGATTCCGTGGTATAACTTTATTATGATCCAAAAAATTTGTAAGGCGTGTCTTTAGACATCTTTCAAATATCTTTGCAACGTTGGAAATGACGTTTATTGGCCTGTAGTTACTCACCATCTATTTTGTCACCAGATTTATGAACTGGTGTGACAATAGATGTTTTAAATCGATGAGGTACGTTTCCAGTTAACCATTTACATTTTTTTGACTTCCTTCCTTTGACTGTATATTTCCAATAAAATCTTGATATACAATATCCACATTCAGTGATGTGTAATTCCAGTTTCTCCTATCAATTCCCTTTGAATTAAGTATAGTATATTTCCTGTTCATTTAGATTTCGGCTGTAAGTCACTTCTGGTTCTTGATTTTGTATATTAAGTGATATTCTAACACCAATGACTTCATGATCACTTATTATTGGAAAGTTTCTATAGTCACTTCTTCCAAAGTGTAGTTATTTGTTATTATACAGGGTGGGGCACGAAAAACTTCCCACCCAGAGTTTCTCAGGTGTTAGGTGTTCAAAAATCGCTCAGACACGTCAATTTTTGTTTTTTGGGGGACATAGGACACATTTTATTGGTATTTTCACCCCCTACCTATCAACCCCTAAGTGAGGGGTAACAGGTATTCCAAAATTTTAAATGGAAAGAGGGGTCGTTTTAGTAGCTATTTTCATTGAGATTATATCCCCGAAGTTTTAAGTTGCTACTATTTATCCTGCCGAAATGGCGGCTTGTCAAAGTTAGGATAAATGCTTTTTTTCGATAATCTGAACTGTATAGTTTTTACCTGTCACACCTATGCGTAGGTAACAGGTAAAAATCACACAGAATTTTTCTATTGATCTTGCCTAACTTTGACAAGCCGCCATCTCGACAGGGTAAATAGTAGCAACTTAAAGCTTCGAGGATATAATCCTAATGAAAATAGCTATCAAATGACGTATCACTTGACCCCCCTTTTCATTTTAAATTTTGGGGGTACCTGTCACCCTCACTTAGAGGTTGATAGGCAGGGGGTGAAAATACCAGTAAA